AGCACATTCAAATGAATAACTTCACCTCAGAACATAATTGAGCCCATGTGTGCTGGGTGCCTATAAAGTTGGGCCAAGGTGAGGACAGCCAACCATGAGGAAGCTGGTGAATGTTTCTAGAAGGTTTTTCTGCTTGGTGCTATCTGGGTGTAGGGAAGCCTCTTGTTAAGAGTTAGAGCTTTGATGTAGTTCCTTACAGAAATTTGAAGTGAAAGCACATTCTACACATAATTATCGTGCTTTTCAGATCACTAGGGAGCAGCAGCAGGCAGAGGTAGACATGAGGTCAGAATGTGGTCTCATATCCAAGACGAGAACGTGGTACACTGTTTGAATACCTGTCTTTGCATTGTACACACTTATTGTTGCCTGGATACTCTATCAGTTCGGCTCCCTTGGATTTTAACTCTTTCAATGCGTTGGTCATCCCTAAGAGCAGGACTCTCTCCACTAAGCAAGGGTCCTAGTGGTTATCACTTATTTGAGAAATGTTCCAATCTTACTGAAGCCCAGAATTGGAAGCGAGTATGCCAAGCACAGACAGTCTCACCGGAAGCCCACTTATTATTGTGGAAGCCAGGTTGAGATACTTAAAAGGAAAAGGTAACTTTCACCGAAACAAAATTGTGAAGAAGGGAAGAGATACTTGAGTAAAAGCTAGAGTGACCTCTACAGCATCAAGCTATTCTTTTTGTATATGTGAGAATAGGGGTCAATTCCAGGTCCTTGCAGATGCCAATCAGTGACATTCTTGACGTGGGGAAAATGACTATCTAATGTACGGATATCTTATTTGTGCCATCCACTCATTCACTTAAATGAGAGCTGAATTGCACTCATCCACTGTCATTCAAAGCTAGCCCATGAGCAGAACAAACACATGATGCCTAGGGTTGCTGTGTGGGTGGAGTTAATTGAGAAGGAAAGAACTAGCACTCATTCCCTCTTCTCCCTCCCGTTGCCATGCCACCCACACACCACAGATGAGGCCAATCAGATCACTTCTTCTGTAAGTACTGAGTTTACCTTAAGTTTCCTTTCCCGATCTTGAGGTGTGGGAAAGACTGATTTTGAATTTGATAGAGTGGTTAACCCATACTCTTCCTTCTACATGTTATCCTCCCTGGCCAAGCCTGACTTCAAATCTGCCATGCTGCCCACCTTTCGGGATCCCTCCTATTACATTACTGTTTCCCCCTCCTACCCCACGGAACTCACTGTGCTCAGTTCTTTTTATAGTGCTTACCACAATCTGTTCCCAAATCAGATTTAATGGTGTGTGTTTCTCTCTTAGTTAGGACTCTGAAAGCAGGGACCTCACCTGTTTGCTTTTTTTTTTTTTTTTTTTTTTTTTCTTGAATGCTCTTGCTCGGTGTCTAGCAGTAAGTTTGGGGGCCGTCTATCTGACTTCAGGTTTATTAAATACAACTTTTATTCCAAAGGATTATTTAGAGATGTGAACTTACCACAATGTCTGAGTAATATGACTGTGCTTGTCTGTTCAATTTGCCTAGTCTAATGAATGATGATGGCCAGCTGTTACTTATTTTTCATTATAATTGTACATAGCTGATCAGGAAATGATGCTTGAATTGAAATTTAATACTGATTTACAATTCATAAACTTTATTTAAAGTAATATCAATTATTTGCAGGTAGTCAATAAGAAAAGGCTACTAGAAAGAAGACCCAGGGAAACAAGCAAAGGTTGATGCAGTAGAGACATTCTTATGCCTTCTAATATGCTTTAAATGATACAAGAGAGGAGATAATCTCCTTGAGGAAAAAATTAATTCTAACTTTCATGATCACTGATAAAGTAGCAGTTAAAAATTAACATGCATTAATATTCATTACTTAAGTTTATTGTACAAAACACTGGGAGTTGTTAAATTTTCTTAAAGAAATAGGCATTGAGATATAATACCACAGCTATAAGTTTATTAAGTGAACAATTGAACTATCATTACACAAGAAGTAATTTATTATGTCCATTGATTTTTTTTCAGAGTATCTCAAAATATATGGCTGAATGTGATTTTTTTTGTCTTAAAATACAAATTTTTCTTTATGTGGTGTGATTTGTGTAACTTGGATATTACCTAAGTTCATATGAAGCCACATGCAGATATCTGTTGGCCTTTCAGAATTGGAGCTCAGAGAGCTCTCATATAAGCACTAGTCTGTTTGTTCACTAAACAAACACCAAGAACATCCTGTGTTTCAGGTGGGGGGGGGTCCTACCTGCTGGAGGCATCTTTTTTTTTTTTTTTTGAAACAGTATTTTTTATTTAAATATATTTTAATATTCTTACATATCGATCCCAGTTCTCTCTTCCTCCCTACCATGGTCCCCAAACCCCCCCCCCATCCCATTCCCTACCTACTCCACAGGGAGGGTGATGCCTTCCAGGAGAGATCATTAAAATCTGTCAAGTTATTTGGAGTAGGGTCTAGGCCCTCCCTCCTGCCTCTAGATTAAGGGAGTATCCCTCCATGGTGAATTTGTTCCCAAAGTCCTTTTGTGCACCAGGGAAACATCCTGATTCCACTGTCAGAGGTCCCTTAGACTGCCCATGTTCAGGGGTCCGAGTCGGCACAATGCTGGTTTCCCAACCATCAGCCTGGGGTCCATGAGCTCCAACCTGTTGAGGTCAGGAGTCTCTGTGGGTTTATGTAGCCTGGTCTTGACCCCTTTGCTTATCACTCCTCCCTCTCTGCAACTGGACTCCAGGAGTGTAGCTCAATGTTTAGCTGTGGGTGTCTGCTTCTGTTTCCAACAGCTACTACATAAAGGTTCTAGGATGGCATATAAGTTAGTTATCAATCTCATAATCAGGGAAGGGCATATTTAAGGTAGCCTTTCCACTGTTGCTCAGATTGTTAGTTCGAGTCATCCTTGTAGGTTTCTGGACATTTCTCTAGAGTCGGTTTTCTCTTCAAACCTATAATGGGTCCCTCTACTATGGTATCTCTCTATTTTTATTTATTTATTTTTTTTTATTATTATTATTATTTTGCTCTTGTCTACCCCCACCCCTCCCCGACTCAGTCTTAACATTGGTGGTATAGTGGTGAGCATAGCTGCCTTCTGAGGCATCTGTAAGCAAGGATGTGAGCAAACTTCATGTTGCCAAATCTAGCATAATCTCTAACTGATAGGAAAGAATTACCTTGGAATTAATAATAAACAATTTGAATACTGCCAAGAAGGTGTGTTAGTGAAGACAGAGAAAAAGCCAAGGCATTCAGTTCCTCTGCATGTCCCATAGGTAATAATTTTCTCCTAGGAAAGGGTAGCTAAGAATGTAGAACTTGGCAGAGATTTTTTTTTTTAAGATAATGGTTCAAGATTAAGTATGTGTTAGTTACTCAAGCACACTCCAGTGACGTTCTGGGCCAGCAATGCCAGCCACTCAGACATGAAAGAGCTTTGTTTTTGAGCTATGGATATTTTTTCTGTAATATAAAAAAATGTGAAGGGCTTGGTGGCATAAGACAAGGATAAACAGGACTGGTAAGATCACAAAAGGCCTACTGTGTCTTGCAAAGGCCATGCCATTTTTCTTGCCTTAATGGTAAAATGGAGAAAACTAATTATCTTTGCTCCTATTTCTCCTCCTGTATTTGTTTTCTCATGCTATCCTAGTTACCTGCATCAGAAACCTTGCTTTACCTGATTTATCTGATCAAGTACCATCATCATCTACTTATAAATTTCTATCTAATCCATTACCTCCTCTCTGTTCTCCATACTTTCATGATAATTTATGCTGTGCTGTCATCCTACATAGCCCTGAGTCCTGCATCATTCCCTTTTGAGTGAGTCCATTCTCACATTCTAGCCAGAAAATCTTCTAAGTGCAGGTATTGAATATACTACTTCCTGCTCAAGATAAGCATGGCCACCATTGTCCTTGCATGAACTGAATCTCCCTGACTGTCTTCAAGACCATCCTCATGTACTCACAACCTGCTAATCTGTGTCTCTGCCTGTTCTTCGTGCTATCCTGGCTCCAACCTAAGAATCACAAACTCATTCCCTGCCTAGATTCTTTCTCCATCATCCTGGCCCAATCCTGGGTCTTATTACTTCTAGAATAAGTTTCCTGACTTATTCTAGATCTGTACCTGGAGTGTTTATTTTGTGGAAGTATAGAACCCATTTTCTCTCCCAGCTCTGGCATTGGTTCAGCAGGATTTTCATCACTTGCTTAGCTGTCCATTTCCTAGGATAGACTGAGTTCTGTGATGACAGAGGCCAGTGCAGCTTGATTTTATTCCCAGCACCTAGCACAGTGTCAGGGTAGTTATAGACTATGGCATGAATCTAATTTGATTTCCAGAACATGGAAAATAGTAAATGCTGGTAGCTTACTAATTGCTTACTCTCTTGAACAAGAGCTGCAGCTTTGATGATATAGGTAGGAACTGATGTCCAAATTACAAGTAGGTAGATGATGATGATGAAGACAGAACAATGCACATTGCACATGGAAAACTAGAGAATCGTAGCTATTCTTCTTTCAGAAACTCTCTAACAAGCAATGAAAGCAAAAAGAGAAGAAATGAAGACCAAGCAGTGTGTACAATGTTGACTGGAATGAAAACGCATCAACAGGGTGGTGGTTAGAGAGGTAGCAAGATCACTGGATGGTATGCATTAATGGCTGCAGGATACAGCCAGCAAGTATGTGAGGATGGCTGGAGAATCCTGCAGGTGTGTGAGGATGACTAGATAACACATGGGTGAGGAATAACATGAAAATCCAGGTGCAGAGTTGACCCAAGCTCTGGGTAGAGCTGGTCTTGCACCTAAGGGAAGAACATATCTTCTTAATGATATGGAAATGGGGTAGCACAGATGAGTACAAGGGCCTAGGGTGAGAAGTGGGAGAGCAAAGTTGATGCAAATGTGTTTAACTCAGTGGCATGAAACAGTGCTGTAAAACAAAGTTACTACTCTCTGTTAATTTTTTTTTTGTTGTTGTTTCTTTCAGGTGCTTGGTGGACTTGTTTGGATTTTGGTTGCTTCCTCCAATGTTCCTCTACCTCTGCTCCAAGGATGGGTCATGTTTGTGTCTGTAACAGCTTTCTTCTTTTCCCTTCTCTTCCTGGGCTTGTTCCTCTCTGGTATGGTGACTCAGATTGATGCCAACTGGAACTTCCTGGTAAGAGATTTTTATTTTAAGTCTTCTGTTCAGAAACGCTTGAGTGTCTGCTCTTTTTGTTGCCATATATAAGAGAAAATAGGTCAGCATGAGGGGTCACTGTGGTTCCTAAGTGTAGTTCTAGTGGATGATGGGCCCTCAGTATGTGAAATTTCCTCACTGATAGAACTGAGAAATCATGCTGTTACTTTTATGATTTAGATCATTGCTATTAAAAAAAACAATTTCATATCATGCAACAAATGGTTCGCATTATAATGGACCAATAGAGCAAATGCCTTGGAAACTGAGTCACCTATGTCTTGAAATTTCCCATTCATTTCTTCTTCAGATATTTAAATGGGTTTAGTCATACCTTAGTGAGAGGGGCATTGTTTAAATGATACACCCTCAAACCTGGGGTACTAACATCTATAGATTCTGAACTCATATATGTTTGAATATATGTAAGTACCTATATTTAATTAAATATGCAGGTTTAATCTCCATATTGCCCACATACATTGCACTATAAGGTTTATTTCACTTAGAGTATATTAACACAATATAAATGCTATACTCATAGTTTTGGGGTTTTAAAAGATTTATTAATTTTATTTTGTGTATGAATGTTTTATCTGCATGTATGTCTGCATTCCTGGTGTTGGTGGAAGCAGGAGATGGTTTGATGAAAGATGTCATTCTGTAAATATGTTTCTCATACTGGTTAATGAATAAAGCACTGTTGGCCAATAGGAAAGCAAGATAGGCGAAACTAGGAGACAAGGAGGATTCAAGGAAGTAGTAGGGAGGAGTCAAGATGGAGAGACTGGAGAGAGAAGAACACCAGCCCACTCTCCAGTAAGATGAGACCACGTGGAAACACTTAGATGAATAGAAATGGGTTAATAATTAAGACAGAGCTAGCCAACAAGAAACAAGTAACTGGCCAACAATATAATATCTAATACAGAGTCTCTTTGTGTTATTTGGGGCTGGTGTGGAGGTGAGACCAGGCTGGTGGGAAAACCTACTCATAACAGTGGTTGATTTGGGTGCTGGGAATCAAACCCAGGCCATCTGCCAGAGTAGCAAGTGCTCTGAACCACTGAGCCACCTCTCCAGCCTCTGAATATAGTTTTTATACTGTATTGTTTGGGAAATGAAGACAAGAGAAGAACATATGTACATGTTTATTACAGACACTTCTTTTTTCAAGACAGAGTTTCTCTGTATTGTTTTGCTATGTGCCACCAATGACCAGCTACTATAGACACATTTTTTTTCCTGATTATTTTCAATCTGTAATTGAATTCACACACAGGGACTGACAGACACAGAAGGGCAGACTAGAAACTGACAGACACAGAAGCACAGGCTAGGAAATACACAGAAGGGGGCAGACTATCCAATTGAGATATATATATATATATATATATATATATCTCAGACTGTAGCCCAAACTGGTGATCTTCCTTGCTCAGCCTCCTGAATGCTAGAATTAGAGTGTGTTTTACCAGTAATAAAGCTTAAGTTTTAGTGGCTGTCTTCCTTTCTCTGTGCTGCAATATAATCAGGGTCCCTATCAGTATAGTAGATAATGCAGAAGGAGATAAAGCAAATGAGGGAAGCCTTGTTTGTGTTGCAGTATTGACCAAGGCCATGAAAAGCTCCAGAGCACTTCTGCCCATTGATCCTGTATTGGGCCCATGGACTAGGCACAGTCCAAATGTACTATGTCTCCTTGAGTCCCACCCAAGAAGAATGTGTCTCTGGCTCAGACACATAAGCATGTCCAAGTCAATTGAAATGCAAGAAAGAAACAAAGTCCCCTAAGAACTAAAGTCCAGTCACAGGGACTGATCACAGGGGTCATGTGAAACCAAGAAGTAAATTTCCAACAGCTGCAAGTCTGATCACTTAACTCATCCATGCCTTTCTGTGTGAAAGGTTGCAAGAGTATATGTATAACAGCGCATGCTTGTTTGTGTATATGCACATGTCTGCAGGGCCTTGGGTGTTGATCCTTCTTAGGGGTCATCCTCCTTGGATTTGGAGACAGAATCCCTCACTGGGATCTGGAACTCATCTAGACTTGATGTCCACCAAACCCCAGGAATCTGCTGACTGTCTCCACCTCCCCTGAGCTGAGACCAGCTACCCAGTGCTGAAATTACAATTGCATGCATACAAATACACTTCAGGCTTTTAAACATGAGAGTCAGAGCTAGAATTCAGACCTCCTGTTTATATGGCAAGGACTTTACTGACTGAACTTTCTTCCCAGCCCCTGTCCTGGCCTTTTAAGATAAAATAAAACATTTCTGAGAATCTTTAGTAAATTAAATGAGTGACTAATAATCAATCTCAATAGACCTTCTCAGTTTTTACAGCTATTAATAACTAATAACCCAATCAGATATGTTTAGCTCATGAGTGCACTGACATTCCAATTTAGATATTAATCTTTTTGATGAACATTTATTGAGTAACCACATGACCACATGTATCTGAGAAATGCTTATAGCTTAGACATGTGTTCAGTAACTATGTGGGTCAATTAGCAATGGCAGGTGTCTCACAGAAAACATGTTCACGTTATTCCTTATGTGTCTCACCTTGGCAGAACATTCTAGGCATAATAAGAGTTCTATGAACAACACTGTTGAGTGGATATTTACAAAGAGGGGAAAAAGTAGACTTTGAAGACAGTTTTCAAACACTGTTGGTAGGAATGTAGATTAATACCATTAGCGTGGAGTAGGATATGAAATCTTCTCCAAAACTTAACAATAGAACTACCGTAGGAGCCTTGAATCCCACTATATGCAAGGCCAAAGGTAATGGAGTCAATGTGTCAGAGAGCTATCTGGGACCACGTGTTTTTTACAGGATTATTTATAGTAGCCATCATATGAAACTAGCTTAAGTCTTCATCAGTCCATAGTGGTAAATAAAATGTAGTGTACATACACAAAGCTATTTGGCTTTTTAGTAATGAAGGAAACCTTTTGTTTGCTGTCAGAAGTATTTACAGTCAAATGAATGAACAGGGGTGAACAGGAGTGAACATGGGTAAACATGGGTGAATATGGAGGTTTTATTAAATGAATGAGCTCAGGCACCAAATGACTATCTACAGATTCAGTTCAATCCCCATCAAAATCCCAGCACAATTCTTCAAAGACCGTGAAAGGACAATACTCACCGTTATATGGAAAGACAAAAGACCCAGGAATAGCCAAAACAACCCTGTACAATAAAAGAACTTCCAGAGGCATCACCATCCCAGACTTCAAGCTCTATTACAGAGTTATAGTCCTGAAAACAAAACTAGACAGATAGACTAATGGAATCGAACTGAAAACCCCGATATTAACCCACGCAACTACAAAAATCTGATTTTTGACAAAGAAAGCATCTTCAAGAAATGGTGCTGGCATAACTGGATGCTGACTTGTAGAAAACTGCAGATAGATTCATATCTATCATCATGAACAAAATTTACTTTCAAATGGATCAAAGACCTCAACATAAAGCTAGCCATACTGAACCTCTTAGAAGAGAAAGTGGGAGCTACCCTTGAACCAATTGTTATGGGAGACGGCTTCTGTAAGGCAAAGGACACAGTAAACAAGACAAAATGGCAGCCCACAGAATGGGAAAAGATGTTCACAAACCCCAAAACTACCAGAGGGTTGATTTCCAAATTACATAAAAATCTCAAGAAGCTAGTTATCAAAACACCAAAAAATCCAATTAAAAAGTGGGGTACAAATCTAAATGGAGAATTCTCAATAGAGGAATCCAAAATGGCTGAAAGACACTTAAGAAAATGTTCAACATCCTTAGCCATAGGGAAATGCAGCTACTTTGGAAATCAGTATGGCGGTTCCTCAGGAAAATGGGAATCAATCTACCACAAGATCCAGCAATTTCACTCTTAGGAATATACCCAAAAGATGTACATTCATACAAGGACATCTGTTCAACTATGTTCATAGTAGCATTATTTGTAAAAGCCAGAACCTGGAAGGAACCTAATGCCCCTCTACTATAGAATGGATGGAGAAAAAAAAAAAAAAAATGTGGTACATTTACACAATTGAGTACTATTCAGCAGGAAAAAAAAAAAAAAAAAAAAAAAAAAAAAACAATGGAATCTTGAAACTCACAGTCAAATAGATGGAACTAGAAGAAACCATTGCAAGTGAGGTAACCCAGTCACAAAAAGACAAACATGATGTGTAGCTACTCATATACGGATTTTAGACATAGAGCAAAGGATTAGCGGCCTACAATCTACACTGCCAGAAAAGCTAGGAAACAAGGAGGACCCTAGGAGTGACATACATGGTCCCCTGGAGAAAGGGAAAAGGACAAGATCTCCTGACTAAATTGGGAACATGGCAGATGGGGAGAGGGAGTTAGGAGAAAGAGAATGGGAGAAGAGGAGGGCATGAGGGAGCAGGAAGACTGAGAATAGAGGAGAACAAGAAAAGAGATACCATAATATAGGGAGTCTTTATAGGTATAAAAAGAAATCTGACATTAGGGAAATGTCCAGGGATCTACAAGGATGACACTAACTGAGAATCTAAACAATAGTGGAGAAACTACCTTGAATGCCCTTCCACTATAATGAGATTGATGACTACCTTATATGCCATCCTAGAACCTTCATCCAGTAGCTGATGGAAGCAGAAGCAGACACCCACAGCTAAACACTAGCTGAACTCCTGGAATCCAGTTGCAGAGAGGGAGGAGTGATAAGCAAAGGGGTCAAGCCTAGGCTGGAGAAACCCACAGAAACAGCTAATCTGAATAAGGCAGAGCTCATTAACCCCAGTCTGATTGCTGGGAAACCAGCATAGGTCCAAGTCAGCCCCCTGAAAGTGGGTGTTAGTTATGAGGACTGGGAAGTCTATGGGGCCTCTGGTAGTGGATCAGTATTTATCCCTAGTATACAAATGGACTTTGGGAGCCCATTCCACATAGATACTCACTCAGCTTAGACACATGGGGAGGGCCTAGGCCCTGTTCTAAATGATATGACAGATTTTGAAGATCCCCATGGAAGGCCTCACCCTCCCTGGGGAGCAGAACAGCGATTATCCCTAGTATACATTTATTTTACATGCTGACCACAGTTTCCCCTTCCTCCTCTCCTTCCGTTCCTCCCTTAAATATATAATTTCTATTTGTGGCTTAAACTTATTCATTAACTTTAACTTCTTAATGAAGGAAAGTTGACTTTGGAAGCAGGTAAGCATGATTCAGAATCTCCTCCCAGTAAGCATGATACTGATCCCCTCCCAAAAGTTAACCTTCGTGTGAAAAGAAAGACAGTGTTTTGTTAGGAAAGCAGACAGTAAATGATAACTGATAATTGTAAGGATAAGAAATTATGCACACAAAATCACTGAAATGTGGCACCTGAAAATATAAAATAATATGTGTATGATGAATTAATTCTAGTAAAGCTGGCTTTTGAAAGGTTATGATTCACACTGGTTCCAGTAATACACAAAATAAACTAAATAAATAATTATTGTTTGGGGGGAAGTATATATTCTTTGTTTTTAATTACATGTAAGGTTGCATGCCATTGAGTACTATCACTAAGTCTATCTTGCAGAATATGGAATAATATACAATTATAAATGTAATAACAAATACTCAAAATATTAAGTACTTGAAATTAATAAAAAGGTATAACTTAAATATAATTTTACTCTACTTTAAAGTTGGTATTTGCCTTAGTTTTAAGTGTAAAGACCTTTTTCTCTTATTTTAACTAATATTGACATCTCTGTATATTAATCTAAACTGATATAATATTTTATTATAAAATTCAATATATAAGAAAGTTTCCTATTGTGCCAAATAAAATGATCTTATATTTTTTTTAACTCTTTGAGAGTTTGGAGCTTCTCAAATAGCATGTTTTAGTCATAGCCACCCAAGCTACCTACTCCATAGCTAAAATTTCATTTGAAATAAGGAACCGGCAAACATCTTACACTTTTTACCTACAAGTGCCTTTCCTCGCCTCTTTCAGGATTTTGTCTACCATTTTGTAATGTTTGTCTTCTACTTTGGAGCCTTCTTACTGGAAGCAGCTGCCACCTCCCTGCATGACCTGCAATGCAACACAACCATGACTGTAAGGCCGCTTCTGAATGATAACCAGTACAACATCAATGTGGCAGCCACAGTAAGTGCTCCGTGAGGAAGGTGCTGTACTTCCACGGCCAATCATCCGGGAGACTCCTCAGGCAGCAGTGGTCATTTAATAGCAGCCTTTAGAATTAAACATGTAAGCCAGACAGTGGTGATGTACACCCTTAACCCAGCACTCATGGGCAGAGGCAGGTGGATATCTATGAGTTCAAGGCCAACTTGATCCACAGAGCAAGTTACAGGACAGCCAGAGCTATGTAGAGAAACCCTGTCTTGAAAACAAACAAAACTTAAGCATGTAATAGCTATGTATTTATCTGTCCAGTGATCCCATGAGCAAGGTATTTTCATTACCTGAATTGTTGTGTGTAACTCAACTGCAACCCGAACAAGTCATTAATTGAGATGGCAACAAGTCTATGGTACTCGACTTTGTAAGAATTCTTCTCCCTTTCTAAATTTTCAGACCTGGTAGGGGAGGTCTGTTTCTAGCTTTGGTTTTTTCCACGTTGTGCCCGTTTTTAATTGGGATTATTGACTGCAATATTTGCCATGGGGGCAGGGCTGATATGAACAAGTCTCAGTTCTTATTGTTGGGGAAGGCAAATTCACCAGCCATTATAACAGATGGATACAGGAGAAAGCCTTCCATGGGGACTTTAAAAGATTTTTCCTATAGTGAACTTGACATTTTGTGTTAAATATTGCAAAGAAATACTTGGGGTTTTTTGTTGTTGTTTCCATGGATAATTTTAAAAACTATCACAAAATGAAATTACTTTCTGAAATGAAGTGTCTTGGTTGATATCTAATATCTAATATTCAGTAATATGTATTACTGAATCTAGTGTCTTTTCCCCTTTAGCTCTTGCCCCTTACAAGGCCCAACTTTTTAGAGTTTTCTAGAATGTTCTCTTCTAGATGTGCCTCATCTGGAAACCTGTCTCCTTCTCCCTCTACCAGAGTGAAGCCACCTCCATGTGTGGACCAATGCCTCCTTATGACGTTCCATTTTATCTACCCATTCCAATCCACTCAGAACTCTAGCTCCTGAGTTTTCAGTAGCTAAAATTAAGCAGCTATTCCTGAGTTAAACCTCTTGCTTATCTTTTTCACTCAGTATAGTTGAGGAGGGAATTTCCTTCTCATTAACAACAGATTCCCAAGTCAATTATTCTCACACAGAGGACATTGTCTACGTTAGAAATACATTACAGAAACAAGCAGCATGGGAAGGGTTAATTAAGCTGAGACAAATTTCTGTGGGAGGATCTGCTCCTGCTTCTCAGGCTACAGTTTCCTGGTTAAGAATCTCTCCCTGAGATAGTCATATTTTGTCATTTTGAATCGTATTGCCTTGTGGTCCTTTAGTGTCATGTGAGGACAATGTGGATTAAATGCTTGTCCCCACTAAGTGCAGTGATGTGTGCACTGTTGGGGTTTATGAAGCCTTCGATGACACCAAGGAAACAGCTCAGAGAAGGGCTAGGGCTTCTGCATGAGGAGTGGCTGCCATGTGAGCAAGAGCCAGACTCACAATTCATTTCTGTGGGCTTTGTCTACTGAGTCTGAAAATGCACAGAAATGATTTGATGTCTCCCCAGGGTTTGCCAGTGACTGTCTTCTTAGCTGTGAAACTACTGAATGACTAGATGACTTGAGCTAACGTTCTTAATCCAGTGCCTGGGGTTCATATGTACTTAATGAATGAGCCTGATATGTGAGCAAATGTTGGATGTTAGGCTGACTATAGATTTGAAAATTTGGAGCTAGAGTGTGCAAAGGGAAGCTCAGCATAGTGAGGAGATCAAACAAAATCATCAAAACACAGATCAGTAGGAAATAGTCTTTTGTATCGGAGCATCTTCAGGTCAGTTGGCGAGTGTTCATTCAGTGGTCTCTTTGGATTTCATTTTCTAAAAGTCGGTGTTGTGCCTCTGATAGCAGTTTTTCTTTCCTTTTCTTAGGTTTTTGCCTTTATGACGACAGCTTGTTATGGTTGCAGTTTGGGTCTGGCTTTGCGAAGATGGCGACCGTAACACTCCTGGGAAACTGACAGTTGTGTGCTAGTTTCATTTTGTCTGCTTTATATATCTGTTCACTTGGGAACCATTTGTCCCAATATAACATTCCAAGCATCATTTGCTGTGTACAGAGAGAACCGACATGAAAGCTGTGGTTTGTTACATTGGTGAAATTTTAAATTTATTCTGATGTTAGAGAGGTATCATTTAATTTTTCATCTCTCTTTTCTTTTTAAATACATCCCCCTGTATATTCTTAAAATATATAGACACTGTTCACAAAACAATAATATCCCTTTTGTTTCTTAAGTCATCTGAACTTGAATAATAGTAAATAACTAAAACAGTATATCTCAAGGAGGCTTCTCATTGAATTCTATCTCTACTGTAAAACGGAGAATGATACATATTTTTTTACAAAAGGGTCAGATAACACATATGTAGGCCATATGGTTTGTGTGGCAATTGTTCTATCCTGCAACATAAAAGCAGCTACAAATGGCATGTAAATAAGTGAATATGTCTGTATCCTAATAAAGCTTTATTTACAAAAAGGGAGTAAGACTGGATTTGGTCCAAAGATCACAATTCAATCAACTACTGCCATATATTGAATTAATCATGTAAGTTTCTCAACCTCATTAGACAAGCCACATAATATATTTTGTTTCATTATGCAATAATCACATTGCCTTTTGTTAATAGTTATAAGCTCCTTGGAGGAGCTTATAGTTTCTCAAGAAAACCTCAGCAGAGCCTTGAGTGAAGAGAAAGTAAGGTATGAAATAAACTCCAAGCTAATGATTTCCTAACTGCTCAGCAAGATCTCACATAAGAGTGCTTAAGACAAGATCTCCAGAGGCAATTACTACTGGAACTGCTATCTTGTGTTGATGTCTTATTTTGGTTTATTTATGCTATAGAATGGTTGTTTGCCCTGTGCATGAACATATAAGTATTTATGTATGTAAAGTTTTCCAAATAGCTCTCTGAAGAGTTGAATTTTTACTTCTGATAGTTTTTTTTTTTTTTGCATTTGCTTTCTGATTTAAATTTGTGTAGACTATTAATTATAACATAAAGCTATATAGATTCTTATATGCTTTGATAATAGCCAAGATATCTATGTTGTATTTACATTGGTGTCAGACAGACAAAGTCAGTTTAAAACAACAGCTAACGCAAAAGCTAGCTCTGGCTAAATAGTACAAGAAACAATCCTAAGCCACCTCCACCTGTTGACATCATGGGCTTGGCAACTTACCACAAATGGCTTGAATCAAGAACAAATTGGAGCTAGGCTGCAGTTCCCACCATGCTCCCATACTAGCTACTTGCCCATTGCTTTAATGGGGCTGCCTCTAGAAAGGGGGACTTGAAGAACGCATTCTACCTGAGCTAAGAGTGCCATGCACAGTTCGAGTTTTGAATCTCATGGAACGTGGAGAAAAACATGGATGAACAGCATAACCAATGTTCAACAGCATAACCAGTGGCCAAGTGCTGTTTATCTACTACTCCCCAGAAGAAGTACATACAGGGGTTCGCTTTGTGATACAGCTAAAGAAGAAATGTGTTTCAGTATGTAGTTTGAAGGAATGGAATCAATCTCACAAACTTAACAGTCATGTCCTAGCTCTTCCAGACACCCTACTTCCTTTATCTTTTTCCAACTCCTAACCACACCTGTATTATGGATTATATATTATTGAAGTCATAAATGTGCCATAAAGAGACATTGTACTTGGAATCACTAAAGTGCAATACACTAGAATTTAGTTTTTTTTCCCCCAAGGTGTAACAGGCCGTGCTTGCTGTGGTATTAATTTAAATGAATTCATTCAAAGGTACTGGAGGTACTTCTGTAAATGGATTGCTTCTAGATTAGTAAGACCCAAACTCAAAGCTCACTAACTGTGAATACTTAAATCTGTAAGTTGATTGCATTCTAGATGTGTGAACTGCCTGTGAGGCAAAGCACTTGAACAAAAATGATGGTGTTTAAGAATCTCCACATATCTTAGCTGTAAAAACGAGAAAGTATTGGTTGGTCGTAAAAATCTGATACATCTATTTTATAAGTGTTATGACTCTAATAAAGTATTCATTTGATAATCTTTTGGATCACTTTTTTTTTAACATTCAGTTAACTGTTTAGTAGAAACTAGATTGAAGTTCCAGACCCATGAATGAGCTGTTTCAGGTAGTTCGATGTAAAAGGGAGTCTCTCAGGGAATGTCAGTAAACCCTTTTCTGGGGTGAACATGAGAAGGTAAACCCTGGGGAAGTAACATTAGAGGGAAACTGAATTGTGAAGCACAATCCACTTACTTTAGAAAGCCTTTGTGAATGTGTCCAGGGTATTCTTGAAGCATTTAAAGAATAAGTGGTGCGTACCTTTAACCCCAGCACTTGGGAGGCAGAGGCAGGTGGATCCCAGTGAGTATGAGGCCAGCCTGGTCTACAAAGGGAGTTCCAGAAAAGCCAAGACTATTACATAGAGAAACCCTGCCTCAAATATTATATATATATATATATATATATATATATATATATATATATATATATTCACCTAATTCTCATCATAACTACTGGAAGGCCTGGATACTTTATCTTATTTGAAATATTAGGGGACTAAAACACTTAGGACATCCAGGTCCTCCACTTATCATGAGAAAGGTAGGCTTCAGAGCCTTGCAGACTGTCTCAAAAGTGTAAGCTCTTGGTTTCTGTGTATGCCTCTATTTGCCCATATTTTAATTCCTTTCCCCCCAAAACCACAAACTCATATCTGCTCTTAGGCTATTTTTGTCCTAAATAAGAAACATGGTTTTTGCTAAACTAACTTAGGCCAACGTGGAGATAGGAATGTAGCTCAGTTGGTAGAATACTTTTCCTGTATGTATAGCTTTGGTTTTGATACCCAGAGCCATAAACTATGGTATCATGTGTCTGCAACCCAACCACTCAAGAAATGGAGGCAGAAGTATCCATGCAACAAAGACATCTGTTCAACTATCTTCATAGCAGCACTATTTGTAACAGCAAGAACCTGGAGGCAACCTAGATGCCCCTCAACTGAAGAATGGATAAAGAAAATGTGGCACATTTACACAATGGAATACTACTAAAAAAAAAAAAAAAAAAAAAAAAAAAAAAAAAACTGTGGAATCTTGACATTCACAGGCAAACAGATGGAACTTGAAGAAACCATCCTGAGTGACGTAACCCAGTCACAAAAAGAGGTACATGGTAGGTACTCACTCATACATGGGTTTTAGACATAGAGCAAAGGATCACCAACCTATAATTCACACCACCAGAGAAGCTAGGATACAGAGAGGAACCTAAGAGATTCATACAAAGTCCCTTACAGAAGGGGAAAGGAACTAGATCTCCTGAGCATATTGGCGGGGGGAGGGGGGCAGTGAGTGGAGAGGGAGTTAGGAGAAAAGGAAGTGGAGGAGAGGATAACATGTGGGACCAGGAAGATTGAATCAGGGGATGAATAGATGAGAGCAAAAAAAAAAAAAAAAAGAGAGAGAGAGAGAGAGTCCATAATAGAGGGAGCCATTATAGGTTTAAAGAGAAAACTGGCTCTAGAGAAATTTCCAGACACCTACAAGGGTGACTCCAACTAACAATCTGAGCAACAGTAGGGAGGCTACTTTAAATGCCCTTCCCTGATAATAAGATTGATGACTAACTTACATGGCATCATAGAGCCCTCATCTAGTAGCTGATGGAAACATAAGCAGACACGACAGTTAAACACTGACACGAACTCCTATCATCCAGTTACAGAGAGGAAAGAGTGATAAGAAAATGGGGTCAAGACCAGGCTACAGAAAACCAGAGACAGCTGACCTGAACAAGGGGGAGCTCATGGACCCCCCAGACTGATAGCTGGGAAACCAGCATTGGATCGATGCAGACCCCCTGAACGTGGGTCTCAGTCAGAAGGCCTGGGCAGTCTAAGGGACTCTGACAGTGAAATCAGGATGTATCCCTGATGCACAAAAGGATTTTGGGAGCACATTCCCCATAGAGGAAACTCCCTTAACCTAGAAGCTGGAGGGAGGGCCTAGACCCTACTCCAAATGACTTGGCAGATTTTGATGATCCCTCCTAGAAAGCATCACCCTCCCTGTGGAGTGGGTGGGGAATGGGATGGGAGTGGGGTTTGGGAGCATGCTGATGAATAAATCATTGTTCTTTTCCTTATGAACAATGAACCCAAAATTTCAAGGACAGAATGTTGAGGATATTTGGTCACACTATAAACCCAAGATTGTTACTTAAATAAAATCGATCATAGGTCAAGAGGCAGAGCAAGAAATCAGTTGACCAGAAGTAGCTATAGAGAGTGAGGGGAAGTCAAGAGGTTGGAAAGGGAGGCAGAGGCACAGGAAATAGAAGGGAGAGACATCAGCTTGGAGGAGTTTTGTTTCAGAGGACAGCCATCTTTCTGAGACAGTGGTGGAGAAGGAAGGACCTGGCTGCTTTCTCTTCCTTTCTGAGCTAGCAGGTTTTTGTCCCAGCATCTGGCTCCTGAGTACTTATTGCTGAAATAAAAAGATGGAGACTTAGTCAAAAACAACATTTGGCCCCCTAAGGTGAGGCAGCCTAGGCAGTGGCAGAGATTGCCGCAACAGTCACTTTGCCATAGACAAAAACAACAGAAAGTAACAAGTCCTTGGTAAGTGCTTGGTAGTGTGACTAAATGGAGTGACCTTTATTCCCATCTTCCCCCACACCCAACCTTATGGCTTCCTCATTTTTCTTCTACCTTGCCTTATAGAAACCTCAGATTCAGTGCGAATATGGGGTGATATCACCCTGGTTCAGTGCTAAATTGAGTCTGATGCAAGCAATACATTTCAAAAGCCCACTGTATTGTAAATGTATGTATTCTCACTTTGGAACATTTTTATTCCACAAATTGTGCATAACATTTAAAGGACACACACACACACACACACACACACACACACACACATACACACACACACACGAAATGGGTAAAAACAAACAAAACCACAGTTTTATATTAGAGAGCACTATAAGGATGTGGAAAGATAACTCACAGAATGGGAAAAAATAATTTATTAGTGGTATGGTATATAGAATATATAAAGCATTTCTATGACTCAAACACACAACCCAATTTAAAATTTGTCAAGGGATGTATATGAAACTACTCTAAAGCAAAGCCAAGAATGGCTAACCAGCAAGCCACATAACTAGATGTCAGAAACGGTAGCCATCAGTAAATCAAACCAAAGCCACAATGAGATATCATTTGGCAACGTGGGATGAACTGTTACCTTCTTTAGTGCAACTGATTATATTGGAACTTTCTATATCAAAACACTTGGAAGCTAAACACAATTATAGTTCATGATAATCATTGAACCCCATTATTTAAATCCCTATCCCATGTCTCTGGGCTTTGCCAGGGCACTGGGTTTAGGGTTACGTATTTGCTTTAGTCACACCATTTTAGACATCAATAGATTTGTAGGATCTTGGATTTGTTTCTTACCTGTGTTGCTTTT